GGGCCAGCATCACGTCTCGTTTCTTGATTTTGAAAAGATGACTTGGTTAGCTTGTAAATTGGTGTGTATAATTACAGAAGCAAGAGTCTGCTTTTCCAAGCTTGGTGGTTCAAACTGCCTAAAGTAGCTTGGAGATACTTAGCTGGTCAATCAGGAACTGCCTTTTGTTGCAGCTATTGTCGGCACCAAGTTGGTGACTCTGGTTGCAGCCATGTTTAAGGCTGACATAATCGTCCAGTGCCTTACCAGTCACAACGGGAGTCACAACGAGGAATGCAGAATTTGAAGATCAATGATTGCCCAATGAGGGCAGGGTAAGACAGGGAGCATTTGGTCGTTAGTTCCATAGCATTGTCTGGCACTGCCGGCACTCTGTCTTCTGAGGTTCCTCCCGACGTCGCTTCAGAATCAGGGATTTAGAATCAGGTAGGATACCTAGGAACTTAGGTGTTGGGAGGGATCCCCAAGGTCTCGGTATGATGACGCCACGCTGACGCAGTCTTTAAGGTTCTGCCCAAGGTTCCTGTAGTAGTTCTGCCCAAGGTACCTGTAGTATTCCGAAACTCGTTGGAAGAGGGCTGTAGAGGGTGTTGAGATACGGGCATTCAGGGACCGAATCTCCGGGTGATTCTAGGGTTTTAGGATCACAACGTCGACGCTAAGTCGACAGTAACCAGAAGTTACGGTTACACGGTTGAATGCGCGCGGGTTACAGCGTTACACCCGAATGACTTGGCAATAACCGTCGATATTGTGTAGGTTCGATAATGGCCGTCGATGTACGGTATAGAGTGAACCTTTCGGACTTACTAGGTGCCGGTCCACTGAGCCTCGAGGCTAGATTGTAGACCTAGTGTTAGGTCGTGACTCGGAACAATCCATATACATTGTGTGAACTAGATTGATTGAGTATCACTTCCAACAACGCTGTGTTTTAACAGAGTGCATGTGTCTGGCCGTAAAGTGCAGACACCACTAATTCTTGTGACTGCTGAGTGGTTTACGGGCCAGGACGTTTTGCAATTTTTTTCTATTTTGGACAATTTAGCTTACTTGAACAACACGCTTATATGTGGCAGATCTGGGCATGCATAAGCTGGATCGGGCCTTCCAGCATTTCTCAAGAGCCAGTCAGTCTTTGAAGGGGCCATGTTGAACAAACAACCGAACCGGAGCTGTAGCTCCATAAACTCTTCTGCATTTTATCCAGCTTAAAAGAGTGGATACGTTGAGGCTGAACACTCGATGCAGCAAATGCTCGCCCGCTCTGGTCTAGTATGCCATCCAGAGTGACTTACTATAGGCAGTGCATCCAATGCTATCATGTGTGGATCGGAAGCCACTTGCCACTGGCAATGAAATGACCTGGCCAAAGCCTTCACATTTGTGTGTTGTTGTGCCCATTACTTTTATAGCAAGTTGTTGGATGTGAGAATGATGTATAAGAAATGTAAGCCAGGCTTTCACGGGATAGCTATGGTGCGGAATGTGGACCTGGCAATATTGTCGGTCTTACCCCCGGAATCCGTACGAATTTTGGGGTTCAAACCGCCAGAGAAGTCTCTAGCCGAAATCGCGACTTTGGCAAATCTATACGTTGCCGGTAGCGCAAGATTCATGAGCAAGTTTTGGGATCCCCAGAACTTTCCCGGTGGAATCCTGGTCATAGAAACTGGGGCAATTTCCATCAACCATGCGGTCGGTTGACATGAGTGTCAGCCGGGCTGCCAAGTTTGTACTCTACTTTTGCAGCAGGATCGGGACCGTAAATATTTTGTGTTTGCCATTCAACCGGCGATCGACGGCACGAGTCCAATCTTGAGTACGGTATCGGTCGACCAAGTAGGTACCTACTACCTACCTGCAGGTAGGAAACTATAGTAGGTAGTACGGTACGGTATATACCGCGTAGCCTGAGTAGGTAGATAGTAACGTAGTTACCTGCAGGTACTTCCTACAGTCCTACTGGTGCCTAGGAGCTAGCGTCCCTAAGTACTCTGGCTAGCTCAAGCAGGTACCGTACCTCCCGTAGGGAATGCGGCATCAGGGTACCTACCTACCTACTGACAAATCATGATGAAAGTGCGCTTCGCAATGTCAGAAAGTGCCCCGGGGTCTACCTACTAGTTTCCTTGACACTCCAATTACGTGGAAACTGTGTCATACAATAAATCAGACAATGGGTGCAGTCGGTTCGCACTATACTTGCTCGGTAATTTCAGGTCGATACCGGGGGCCGTAGTACGTACGTACTACAAAACGTGCAGTACCTACGTAGGCCATGGGCTCCTTGACACGAAGGAGGAAGCTCCCAAATTGGACAGGCCCGATGGACCGAAGTAGCCCAGGGCCTCGCTAGTGTGACCAACAGCGGATTCACGTGCAGGGACCGGTGTTGCAGGTACAACTACAGGGCCTCATCCAGCATGCACCTCAGGAGAGGTCAAACATGGCGTCTCAAGCATCAAAATGGAAGCTATTCAACACCTAAAAACTAATGTTTTATCGATCAGATGTGGATGTGACGTGGCATTGAATGCCATTGGGACATCAAGGCCTACCTTCTGAGAGAAGCTGGAGAGTGTGCTTCTTTTTTTGTGCTCTGTATAGTGCTTTATATGGACCCCCATTTTACAGGCAAATTGGGGCAATTTCTGATTATTTGGGGCAAAGAAGAAATATTTGCAGGTCATTTCCCGGTTCCTCGGCGGTTCAAAGCTGGGAAATTTTTCACCGGGTACCAAAGACAAATTCCCGCTACCGAGGAACTTTGGCCGTACGCGGTCGCATGACCGTACAAGATTGGGGGTGCAAGATTCCGCACCGTAGCTATCCCGTGGTCGCACTGCGTCCCATATGCAAAAATGTAAAGCAGTACGAGAGTAGCTAATACAATGGATGATAGACTGCTGTAGTATCACCAGATCTGAATTGTATGTTATCATGATCATCAGATGATCAGAGCGGAGCTATTGACTACTTGGGCCCTATTTTGAAGCTTTTCCTTCAGTGGCTTGCATGCCCATTAGCTCAATGCACATTGAGCACGCTTTTCTATAGTCGGACTGAAGAGGGGACTCGAGTCCAAAACCGGGCGGGCTGAAAGTGTCCAATTGTAGAAATTCGGACGCCGGAATTATGTCGCGTGCCGTGTGCCCGATCTTGGTTTCGGACGGCGTCCGGGCTGGTTGTGTTGCAGTCATACATGTATACCAAGATACTAACAACTGATGCAACACTGTACATTGTATATATTTTATACAATGCAGCCCGTGGCAAAGTTATACCAGGCGAAACCTCGTACACAGCACAGTACTGACTGGTTGATATCCAGTCACGATGAAGTAGGACGGCCGACTGTCCTGACTGACGTCCCTCCGCATTATTCATTGGCAGTACCTACATTGGCTTTGCCGGCCTCAGTGGTTTGGGATGCTGAGACTTCGGTGAATAATGCGCATCAGTTTTACAAGCTTCCGCACTCTGACAACAATCCGCAGTCCCGGAAAGTGACTGGGCACAGATCGCAAACCGACCAACGACGCGCGCATATTTGATCGACGGACTTGTGCTCGGGACACGTGTCCCGGCAGCTTTGGCACGCCCGTCCTGAAGCCGTTTTGTGAATGTCACCAGGGTCTATCGGTATCTGCTAGTAGCCGGCGTTGGCGTCCATCGTGCTGAAGAATTCTGCCTGCCCGAGTTGGTTAAAAATCGCGTCATTTCGGGGGATTGGGTAGCAAGTGGGCACTGTGACTTTGTTGCGTGCCCTGCAATTTAGTGAAGCTATTAAATCTACGTGCTCTATATGTTCGTGGTCTTATACTCGATTGATCTCAATCTCAACCACCTTTAGACGACGATCTCATAGCACGTTAAATCAACCTCGCTTACATTAAGATCTTATCTCGCAAGCATTAAGATCCTAGTCACGGCCTAATTTGATTTTAATCTGATCCCTTCAGGACCCTAATCTCGACCTGGTTAGGACCAAACCTATGTGTTACACAGCGATTCCACCTCACTACAATGGTGTAAAATATTAGGGCGTAACGAAGACAAATACTTCTTAAATTCAACAGAGATAATGTTGAAAGCAAGCGCCTTTCAAGTGCACAACTTCTCGGAAGTGAGTGTGGTTTTTTTTATACATTAGTCCAAGTCTTATAGCCTAGCTCAAGCCTAGCTATTACCCTATTTCAATCGACAAATCGACGGTCCCTATTCCACGTTGCCTACAAAAGAACCTATCGGCTACACCGAAATACACATCACAAGAGAACCCATGCACAATGGACTCAATCCTACGCCTTACGTTCCGCACATCCTACGATGGATACTCAACAATGCAAGCTCACCATCGTACGGCCAACCTTATGCATCAGATCTACGATTCTATGGACGATATATCATAGGATATATTAGGGCGTACTCAAGGCTAGTACCGCCCAACTCGAACACTCTGTTGAAAGCAAGCGCCTTGGAGCGCGTTTCAAGTCAAGCACAACTACTAGGAATGAGTGACCAATACAAGTCAATGGTCCAAGTCATAAATCCGTGGCTAGGTCTACTTGGTCGAGTCCAACCCTAGCTCAATGTGAGTCAACTCAAACATCAACGGCCTAGCCTCCAAGATTCCACAAAGATGCTTATCTAATGGTCCACACTGGCCTAGGAGGTTAACTCCCACTAGTGGGGGTAACTGCCAGTGGGGTAATTGCCAGTGGGGGTAAATGCCAGGGGGTAATTGCCAGTGGGGTAATTGCCAGGGGGTAATTGCCAGGGGGTAATTACCACTTTTTGAAACTCAATGTTTCGGCTACGAAATCATCTAGGATCTTAGGGCGTACTCACACAATAGTAGTACTACCTAAATCCAACACACTCCCCCACGCACTAAGTATCCTATGCAATTCCTATCTCCTTCTTGCACTTCAAGAACTTTCCGGGTGCCAACGCCTTGGTCAAGATGTCCGCCCGGTCATGTCCTCCATCATGCACTACGCGAAGTCGACCTCCTTGCGCACCACCCGCTTCCGCGCAAAGTGATGAATCACGTCGATGTGCTTCGATTGCTGCGAAGCGATCGGATGCTTGAGGAGCCGTATTCCTCCTTGGTTATCGAATGAATTAAGACCGTTCCGAGGTCCAACCCCAAGTCTCCCCCGAGTTTCCGGAACCACAACGCCTCCTTCACGGCGTTCCCCGCGCTCATATACTCCGCCTCTACCGTCGAGGCCGCCACCGTCGGTTGAGGACCAACTCACCGCTCCCCCTACATCAGGAAGACGTACCCCATCGTAGAATTGTGTCGATGTCCTCCGCATTATCGGCGTCGCAAAACGCCTCGAGGACCTCGCCGCTACCCCCGAACGTTATTCCGGCTTCCGCCGTCCCTGCCAAGTAGCACACCACCCCATGCGCCGCCGTCCAATGCGCCTCCGTTGGCGCACTCGTGTGGCGCGCCACAGCACCCACGGCTACAGCGATGTCGGGCCGTGTGCACACGCTCAAGTACAACAAGCTTCCAATAAGCTCGCTATAGGGAGATTGTTGAAACATCACGTTGTTGGAATTGATATTCAATCAATCAAGTTCACACAATGTATATGGAGTGTTCCGACTCACGGCCTATCTCTAGGTCTACACTCAGTCTAGCCTAGTAGGCTCAGTGGACCGTCACCTAGTAAGTCCGAAAATTTCACTCTGTACCGTACATCGACGGCTATTATCGAACCTACACAATATCGACGTTTATCGCCAAGTTATTCGGGTGTAAAGCAGTAACCCGCGCGTGTTTAACCGTGTAACCGTAAAATCTAGTTACCGTCGAATTACCGTCGTCGTCGTGATCCTAAAACCCTAGAATCACCCAGAGATTCGGTCCCTAAATGCCCGTATCTCAACACTCCCCCACACACTAATGACTATGCGATTCCTATCTCGCTCTTGCACTTCTTCAACTTCCCCCGATGCCAGCACCTT